ACACACACACACACACACACACACACACACACACACACACACACACACACACACACACACACACACACACACGTGCACATATGAATGGAGAGGTACGCTTGAGTAGGGGGTGGAGGCAAGCTGGAGCCATAGGAGCCTCTTCTCTTTTTTTTCTAGCTCTGTGACTGATGTCACACTGAAAGGCTAAGAAGTATTAGCACGTTATTTTGAAATAGATAAATAATAGAATGATGTAAGGAAGAAAAATAAAATCTTTGACAGCAGCATCAGAGCTCATGTTTAGAGGACATAAAACATATCTGAGTTGCTGCTTTTGAATTATTTTTCAGCTTAGCTAATTCATTTAACAATAAGGATCCCTAGCAGTCAGTCGGTGACATTGTGGACCACCTGTCCAATTCCTAATTTATCTAACATGCATGATTCTGAACTGTGGCAAGGAACTGGAATAACATTCACAAGCATGTGGATAATGGTTAGGGTTAAAAATTCAGAGTTTTGAACTCAGGACTTTATTGTTGTAACAAGGCAGTATATTTAAATAAAACAACAACAACAACTGTTTATATGCAGCCCTAATAATGGAACAGTATTAACAGGACTGACATGGTTTTGAAGCAAAGGTGGAACTAATCAACCACGAGTATGGTAAAAGCAAGAGACAAGCTAAAACTGAAACATGTTAAAACAAAGATGTACAAAACCACATTTAAAATGAGTTTTATTATCTTGTTTATTTGTTAGCACAGTATTGAAAGGAATCTTGTAGGGAAAACCTGAATCAGGCACAGAAAACCGGTCCAGTATTCAATCTTGAATGTTTATATAAAGATTGTGACAGCGCTGTGGTCCATCCCGTCTGAGAGGAAAAAATGTCGCCCCCCATCACGAAACATTCTGGAGATGATGTCATACCTCTAAATCAGTTCTGAAATAAAAATGTTATGATTGTACTGCTGGAACAAAGCACATGGTAAATACAGACTTGTTGATTCTCTTACTGGTTAAAATAAATGATTACAATTGATCATAAAGTGTAAAATATCTAAAATTCAGTTAAACAACTGCAAAATATCCAACAGTTATGTGAATAATCCACAGCAGGGGTATTCAACTGGTGGCCCGTGGGCCAGGTGTGACTTCCATCAGGCAGTCATTGAGGACACTGGTGAACAGGTTCACAAAGAAAAAAACAAAAGTGACAACCATTCATGCACACCTAAGGGCATTTTAACCAGTTAACAAACATGTACAGGGAAAACAAGCAAGGGGGGCCCCCATACTGGGAGCTGAACCTACAACCTTCCTTCTGAAGCATCAGTGCTGGCTCTCAGTGTTCCCCTATTGATTGCAAATCGGAGTCAAAGTGAAGTTTTGACTTAAGCGTGGACCTCCCTCTGTGTGCTGAAACGAGTGAACGTGCAGCATTTAAACGCCTGCTGTAAACTCCTTCATGACTTCCTGCTGCTGGCCTGTGTGTGCGTTTGGCTGATCAATATCATCTCCAGTATTGTCTACTGTCCTCCAGGTGGGTTTAATAAAGTTGCACAACACCGTGCTGCAGGGAAGGACCTATTGGGTTTTTGCATGAACAGTTAAGCGTCCTACAGAGAGACGCAGCTGGATCCTCCAGGCTGACGGTGTGAGCCAGCCAATCAGATGAGGCAGCTCACCAAACTCTCTGCCTCCTTGCTCTCTTCCAGGTCTCATTATGAGCAGGAGAATACAAGCAGATACCCCCTCCGCCGTCACCACCCCTCCTCAAGCTGTACCACGGCCGTGGAGATGGAGAGATGTGAACGTGGATTAGTTTCTATGCCAACAGCGCGAGGACGCACATCGCACATCCAGCCAGTCAGCCCGGGTCCCTGCAAGACGCTTGTTTTTGTCCCTCTTGTTTTCGTCTCCTTGTCTACCCTCCCCATCCCTCCTCTTCTGTGCTCCCTCTCTCTCTCTCTCTCTCTCTCTCTCTCTCTCTCTCTCTCTCTCTCTCTCTCTCTCTCTCT